TCAAAAGAATAGAGACGTAATGCCCAATAGTCCGTATGTACATAAGGAGCCCTTGGAGGGGCTGCTCACTTCATGGTGAAAGGCATGGTCAGCGTCAGCTCAAATCCTCAACAGACCGGAAATGCAGGGCTTACTTTAAAGAGCATTATTTTGCCCAAAGAAAACCATTTGATATCATATTTGGTTTTCACGATTGTTTGGCTAAGCTTCTGACATAACCATGACTTGCTTGTACAGCTTTCTACATCATTCGGACTGAAGAAAAAGAGTCTTCGGACAGAGATAACCCCAAAATATGCAAGTGAAAATGTTGTTTTGCAGAGTCAGAAATACTTTTCCTGCTTAGAAAATGTTTTCTCTGTAACACAGATGTGCTTTTCAAAGCCTCAGAGTTTCCTCCTTTGAAAATATGTTGAGCCAACTGAATTTTTAAGGAAAATATTTATACCCTGAATTTAGCTCTGCTGAAAGAGCACGCAAGAATTGCAATCACGTTCTTTGTAAGTGTTTTAAAGTTTTCCTGGAGTTTATCACGTGAGGATGAACTGAAGGACTGAGGTCCCAGGATTAACATAGACCTTGATTTTTAAAAGAATGAGAAAGTGCATAGAGGTGAAAAAATGTGCCAATATGTTCACTATCATTAATCCTCATAATCGGAAAACCTCAGTTTGTAATATTCAACATCCTTATTGGTCATTATTTGTAAAATGTTTGCAGTTAAAAGATTTCTATTAAAATAAAGATTGAGAGTGGATAAGTATATGGCAATGGTAGGAATGTCCCTCTGGTAGGAATGTCCCTTTACTGTGTTTCAAGTTTGGGGGGATTACAAATACAGCCACTATAAACATTTCTTTTCCACAGCTGGCTACACCACTTGCCTTCCCAGCAGCAATGGATAAGAGTTCCATTTGCTCAGCATTTCTGCCAACACTTACACGGCCAGCCTCTTCTGTTGTTGTTATTTGTTTGTAGTGTATCTTGCTGTGGTTTAATTTTAATTTCTCTAATTATTAAAGATGTTGAGCATCTTTTCATGTACTTATTTGCTATTCATATATATCTTATTTAGTGAAGTGTCTGTCAAACATTTTGCCTGTTTTTTTCTTGCTTTTTCATCATTGAATTTTGAAAATATACATTTTGGATGCTAATGACTTATTAAATATATGTTTTGATAAGAGTTTCTTTTAGTATACGGCTTGTCTTTTCCGTGTCTTAACAGTGTCTTTAAAAACTTAGAAGTTCTTAATTTCAGTTAATTCTATTTCCGCATTTAAGGGTAGTGTTTTGGGGTCTTCCCTGGTGGTGTAGTGGATAAGAAGCTGCCTGCCAGTGCAGGGGATGCGGGTTCGAGCTCTGGTCCGGGAAGATCCCACATGCCACGGAGCAACTAAGCCCGTGCGCCACAACTACTGAGCCTGCGCTCTAGAGCACACGAGCCACAACTACTGAAGCCTGCGTGCCTAGAGCCCGTGCTCTGCAATAAGAGAAGCCACTGCAATGAGAAACCCACGCACCGCAAACAAAGAGTAGCCCCCGCTCACCGCAACTAGACAAAGCCCACCTGCAGCAACGAAGACCCAACATAGCCATAAATTAATTAATTAATTAAATTTTTAAAAAAGGGTAGTGTTTTTGATGTTACATCCAAGAAATCTTTGCTAAACTCACAGTTTTTCTCCTATGTTTACTTCTAGAAATTTGATACGTTTTAACACTTAGGTCTACAATGCATTTTGAGTTAATTTTTATTTACATTGTAAAGTAAGGGCCAAAGTTCAATATTTTTGCTTATGGTTGCCCCCAGCACCATTTGTTGAGAAGACTATTCTTGCTCCATGGAATTACCTTTGCAACTTTGTAGAAAATCAATTGACAATATTTAGCGGGTCCATCTGGGGACTCTTCTCAGCTCCCTTGATTCATGAGCCTGTCCTTTTGCTAAGACCACACTGTGTACCGCAGCTTTATAGGAAGATTTGGCGTATGGAAATGTGAGCCGTCCAACTTTGTTCTCCCTTTTCACAATGGTTTGGACTATTCTGTCCCTTTGAAGTGCCATTAAAATTTTAGAAATAGGGACTTCCCTGGTGGTGCAGTGGTTAAGAATCTGCCTGCCAATGCAGAGGACAACGGGTTCAAGCCCTGGTCCGGGAAGATCCCACATGCCACGGAGCAACTAAGCCTGTGCGCCACAACTACTGAGCCTGAGCTCTGGAGCCTGCAAGTCACAACTACTGAGGCCACGTGCCACAACTACTGAAGCCCGCACGCCTAGAGCCCGTGCTCTGCAACAAGAGAAGCCACCGCAATAAGCCCGCGCACCACAAGCAAAGAGTAGCCCCCACTCACCGCAACTAGAGAAAGCCCACGTGCCGCAAAGAAGGCCCAACACAGCCAGAAATAAATAAATAAATAAATTTAACAACAACAAAAATTTAGAAATAGTTTGCCAATTCTTATGAAAAGCCTGTGTGATTTTGACTCAAGTTGTATTAAATCTCTATATTATTTTGGGGAGAATTGACATTATCACTTTCCTGTTCCTGAACAGATCAAACCTCTGTGTTTATGAAAGTGCCCTTTAATCAGTGTTTCATTCATAAGTGTTTTGTGGTTTGGGCATACAGATCACGCACATACTGTTTGATTAAGGATTTCAAGGTTTTTTGTGCTACTGAAAATGGTCTATTTTTAAATTTCAACAATTGTTCATTGCTGGCATGTAGACATGTAACTGATTTTTAAATATTGATTTGCTAACCTCATGTATCTGTTCTAATGGCTTATTTTGTACATTCCTTTGGATTTTCTACTTAGACAACTAAGTTGTCTGTAAGTAGAGGCAGTTTTGCTTTTTATTTGCAGGCTGTATGCCTTTTATTTCTTTGGTCTTCCTTTACTGAATCACTACCTAAAATGACTGATAGAAGGAGTTATAGGAGACATTTCTGCCCTGTTCCTAAGAAGAGAGCATTCAGTCTTTCACCAATAAATATATGTGAGCTGTAGGTATTTTATAGACCTACTTTATCAGGTTGAGGAAGACTTCTTTCAGTGAATGAATGAATAATGAACTATGTCAAATGTTTTTTTCTGCATCTAGTAGGAATACCTTATGCTTTTCCTTCTTTAATCTATTAATATGGCATATTACATTGATTTCTAAATATTAAACCAAGATTCCATTTCCAGAATAAATCCATTTTGCCATTTTTACATATTGCTGGGCTCAGTTTGCTCATTTTTTAGACAGTATTTGTGTTTATATTCAGATGGGTATTGGTCTATAGTTTAGTGGGGGGTTTGCCATGTCTTTGGTTTGGATTTTTCAGTACTGTTGGCCTCATAAAATGAGTTGGAAAGTATCCCCCAAACCTCTTTACTGTAGAAGAAATTCTATAAATTTTTAAATTATTTCTTCCTGAAATGTTTGGTAGATTTCACTAGTGAAACTTTCTGGGTCTGGAGTTTTCCTTGTTTGTAGAATTTTAACTACAAATTTAATTATGTACTTTAATAGATACAGTACTATTGTAGTTATCCATTTCTTCTTAAGTGAGCTGGTGGTTCCCTTAATGTCTTAGGAAAATTTCCTCCACAAACAGTTTTAGAATTCAAATCCTTTTAATCAGTGCCATTATCTTTTGCCTGAAATACCTACAATGCTGCAGTATTAGTTACTTTCTCTAGTCTTATCCCCACTAGAACCCATCCTCACCATTATCATCTATCCAAAATATATTGTTCATGTCTCATTCTTTTTTAGCAGCCTTTTAAAGACCGATTTAAATTGTCAAGTATATAAATTTTTAAATATTTATTTATTTATTTGGCTGCACTGGGTCTTAGTTGCAGCATGCAGGATCTTTTGTTGCAGCACACGGGCTTCTCTCTAGTTGTGGCGTGCAGGTTTTTTGGGGGTTTTTTCCTCTCTCTAGTTGTGGCGTGTGGGCTCCAGAGCACGTGGGCTCTGTAGTTTGCAGCATGTGGGCTCTCTCATGGAGGTGCGTCAGCTCAGCAGTTGTGGCATGCAGGCTTAGTTGCCCTGCGACTGTGGGATCTTAGTTCCCTGACCAGGGATCGAACCCACATCCCCTGCATTGGAAGGTGGATTCTTTACCTCTGGACCACCAGGGAAGTCCCTTAAGTATATAAATTCTTTAGCATATTAAAAATGGGTCTCTACCATAGGCCTCCAGCTTCATCTCCTCTCACCTTTTCCAGGAAAATCATGGCCTACAAAAGCCAAACCGCTTGTATTTCTGTGAATCTACCGCATTGCTCGCCCTGTATCTTTTACTGTAATTTTTCACCATATTCATTATGAAGGTTTTTTTTTTTTTTTTGGCCACAACACTTGGCTTGTGGGATCTTAATTCCCTGACCAGGGACTGAACCCTGGCCCTCAGCAGTGAAAGCACAGAGTCCCAACCACTGGACCACCAGGGAATTCCCAATATTCTTAATCATCTTTTATGTCCTACTCACACAACCTGTCATTCAGAAACCCTCTTTGATTCTTTAGGGAGAGACAGCTTTCCCTCATTCATTCATGCTATGTTGTAATAGATAATTCAGATATTTACCGTAGGTTATATCACACACGAATATATGAAAGTGAAATTATCTAAGTTTGCCTTCCTAACAAGACCAAGCTCCTAAAAGTTAAGGTAATAGTATATTTCTCTTTCTGTCCCTTACTCCTAGCCCAGTGTCTGCCCTACAGTAAGTACCCAATAATGTTTGTTTAACTATTCTGGGTTACATAGCACTGGAGTGGGTAGATTCTTGAGGTAAGATATGACCGCAATTTGCATTTCATTATCCAGCATCCTATCATTGAACTATGCACTGGCATTAGCCAAGAAGTAGATGGGGATCCTCTTCTACTTTAATTGTTCAAAATACCCTTTTGGCTCACAGGTCACCTTAAACATATGATCAGTGTAGAGAATGCTTTACCAAGTACAGTTATCTATGCACATACACACCAGATTTTGTGTGAAATTCCAAGACGTTCATAGAACTCTTTATCTCCATCCACTTCCCCGTTTGTATACAGGCTGTCCATTCTGAGTTGTTCAGTAGGATTACACCACCATCCAATAGGACCAAGTGAACCAGGCTGGAATAAGAGAAGGAATAGAAGAGACCTGAAAGAAGGCTTAGAGTAGATCCAGAGGGTCCTTGTTCAATTTTTGGTGGAGATAGTTACAATATGGTAAAAGAAGAACTGAAAGGTTGCTTATTTGATTGTCTCCAACAGTGTTCGTCAGAGGCCTGGGTGCTCCAGATTATCATGAGACGTTCAGAGACCCTTCACAGGTATCCACCACTGACCAGACTTAATGGTGCTGATTTGGGTGGAGAATTAATAAGGGCAAAAGCCCTAAGCCTTTAAGGAAAAAACAGTGTTTTGAAGAGGAGTATTTAAGAGCTGTTACATGACAACCCTGTGGTGCAGATTAATCAGTGCCATTATCTTTTGTGCAGTTACTAGATGGACCCAAGTTGGGAGAAAAAAATGACTAGAGAGAGACTCTAAACAACTCTATTCATATGACCGTTTAAGGGATGAGTACTAGAAACAGAAAATGTGTTTCATTTGTGCAGATTTCTGAGGACAGAAGGCCATCCTCTACCCCTGCTTTTGGAGCCATTCCTTTCTGCTTTCCTGTTCCACTGATTAAATCCCCATCAAGTATCCCTCTCTTAGTGAATCTTTCCCCTCAGCATATAAATATACTCAGATACCCCACTAACAAACATGCCACAAGAAAGAAAAAAACAAAAACAATTAAAATAACAACAGCAAAACAATATAAACTTCAAAACAGACTATCTTGACTATGACCTTCCTTTCACCCTTTTAATTCCCAAAATTCTGTAAATAATAACATGAAGCGTAAACTCCCACACCTTAACCTTCTCACTCCCCATTCACCCCCAGATCTACTGCAATTTATCTTGCTTTCATATGAATTTCACTGAAACTGCTCATGTGAAAGTCACTGATGAACTTTCAGCTGACCTATTTTATCCCTGTTTAAGATATTTTTCAGTTGGGTGTCTATGATGCCACTCTATAAAAACTGAGCTCTCTTTAGCTTTAAATTTCAGAAAACTCAAGTACAAATGAAGTAATCTATAAGAAAATTTTATTATTTCACAGAACTTAGTCACACTCCTTAAGAGGTCCCAATATATGGAATCTGCATAGTTGATTAATCATTGGTTCATAGATCACCAAGGGCACTCTTTTCTATTTTCAACTTTACCATGTTCAGACTTCATGCTAATCAAGGGTGTGTGTGTGTGTGTGTGTGTGTGTGTGTGTGTGTGTGTGTGTGTGTGTGTGTTTGGCAAGAGCAAAATCATATGCCAATGTCCATCCAAAGTAGGGAGAGTTTCTCCCCATGCATCTTTCTTTTAGTGGTCCCACCTATAAATGACTCAAAACCATGGGAGGAAGGACCCTCACTTTCCCATGGGTTCCTAAACATAAGATGCTCCTTGGCCTTAGGCCCCACGCCCACCTACAAATGAATCCATCTCATAGGGAAATAGACCACCGTGATAGGCCTTGACTAATCAGCATTTTCTAGACTCGTGTAGAAAAGGGATGGACAGAGCTATGCCACCAAGGAGGGAGGGAGCTACTCTGTTGGGTGGACAACCAATAATGACCACTGTGTACTTTTAACCGGATTTTCTGTTTCTAGTACTCATCCCTTAAACGGTCATATGAATAGAGTTGTTTAGGGTCTCTCTCCAGTCATTTTCTTCTCCCAACTTGGGTCCATCTAGCAACTGCACGCTCTTGACTTTGAAATCTATTTTTCTAAGAGATAATTTACCTGTTTGAACTGATATCTGCTTAAACAGACAAGACAGCAAATCTAATCACTCCCCTGTAAACACACAAACACACACACACACCCTCACATATCCACAGGCATACACACTCACACAGACACACACACAATGACACATGCACAGACATATGGATTCGTTCCAAAGCTTTACTTCGTCTATTTCCTGTTTTTAGCGTCTGTTGAATTGCTATCCACAGAGGTGCCGTCTTCATGCCGTCACACACAAAGATACTGCACGAGGTCCATGTTTAGCCCAGGCGCATTTCTTCTGAGGCTCATTTATACGTCTTCATGTGCCACAGCCCGTCATTTAAATAATGGATATTTTCGATCCCGATTCCTTTGTTGACTTTCTCGATTTCCTCTGCAGACATCTTCATGACTCCCACACACAGGGCGTGCTGTTTTCCTTCTGCCATGATTGCAACCACCGTGTCCACCGCGGCGGGGTAGAGCTTAGCTCCGGGAGAGGTCAGGCCCGGACACATGATATTGGCTCCACTGAGCACAAACTTGATGGCTCCTTTATCAACCTGCTGGCGGGGCAGGATGAAAGGGTATTTGTGAAGCAGCCTTAGCGTTGGATAAAAAGGCCCTTCTCTTTGTCTAAAAAATAGTAACTCCCCGTTTACAGTGAGGATTTCTATGTGTTCGTGGCATCGCACTATTTTGACCGGATCCTTCTTAGGCATGATTTGATTCAGCCACGGATCGATACCAGGAAACTGCTCTATCAACTGGTTCTTAATACCCTTAATAACGGAAGTTTTCAACTGGATGCAGTTGGACACATTTTCTTTTTCATCAAATTTCTTGAACATGATCCAAGGTGAAGAGGGCGACGACAAGGAAGCGCCCAGAATCGAAGAGAAAACTGAATTACAGAGAGCCCGGCGGAGGCGCTTACCGGAGAACTGCCGGCGTGGACGGTCGGTACGGCTGTTGTTAACCGGAAGAGGGAGGCGCTTTACGGCTTTCCGGGAAATCTACTTCCGCTCCTTGGAATGTGGCGTCGCACTTTCCGGCAGTATTTGGTCTTCCGATTACTCTTCGGGGCGGGACTGTAAAAGGGCGGGACTTGAAAAGGAAGGGTGGTAGAGCAATCATTTTTGTTACAGGAAGAGAAGAACGGAGGGGGTCTGTCTTCTATTTTTTTTAATTGGGAAATGGCTCGCCATCTGTCCAATTACCCACGCCAGAAACCGGGGGACGAATGCTGAACGATAAGACCTCCTGTTCCGCACGGTCACGGCAAGGAGTCGAGTCCTGTGCGTTATTCCTCCTCCACAATCTCTCATGCTCTCACAATCTCTCGCTGGTTTAGCGCAGCTCCGAATACTTGCAAACAGTCGCTGCCTGTCACCTTCCCAGTTCTCTCCACTTGCACCCGGAGAGGAGAGGCTTTGTGGCCAGGAGGAATGCGAATGTTGTACGATTTCAATCCTTTTAAACACACCCAAACTCGTTTTATGGGCCGGCATACGGTCTCTTTTGGTGAATGTAACGGTGCTTCTGAAAATAATGGGCTTTCTGCTTTGTTAGGGTGCAGCGCTTCTCTATTCTTACTGATTTTCTGTGTGCTCATTCTGTCCGTTACTGAGCAGCATATTGAAATCTCCATGGTTGTGGAGCTCTTTCCCTTTTCAGTTCTATCAGCTTTGGATTTATAGATTTTGAAGCTGCGTTATTAGGTCCATACCCATTTCAGATTAATGTGGAGGTCACCCTGTTAATTAGGATTTTATCCGCTTAGGTTTTAATTGTCATCCAAAGAAGTGTGAGGCCCTTGAGGACAGTAATTGTATATTTTATCTCTGTACTTTTTCACCCAGCACAAGATAGATCTGTTTCATACTACATACACAATAAGTGACTGATGAATAAATGAAAGAATGCTTCCTCTCCCCAAAGTTTTGGTCCGTTTCCCAGACAGTGCTTTGTGAAGAGAATAAGAGCAAATCCTTGCTCTGTGAGCACTTCTCTCCAATGACACATGCTTAATTTGGGAAGCCTGCACTGCAGCAGAATTGTAACAGGTGCTGAATGTATAGTGGAAAAATAACATACATTTCCTCATTTGGGGGAGCTTATAGCACATGAGGGTTTTATATATGTGTATTTTATACATATACATATATAATCATTATTATAAGGAATTGGCTCGCACGATTATGGAGGCTGAGGCTGAGGAGTTCCAAAATCAACAGTCAACAAGCCAGACACTCAGAAGAGCCGATGGTGTAATTCAGTTTGAATCTAAAGGCCTGAGGACCAAGATGGTATAAATTCCAGTCTGAGTCCAAGTCTGAAGGTAGATGAAGACCATTGTCCCAGCTCAAAAGCCATCCGGCGGGAGGATGGCCTTTTCAGGGGAGAGTCAACCATTTTGTTTTATTCAGGCTTCCAAACTGATTGGATAAGGCCTGTCCACATTAGGGAAGACAATCTGCTTTACTTTACAATTAAGTGTTAATCTCATCCAGAAACACCCAGAATAATATTTGATCAAATATCTGTGCACCCCGTGGACCAGTCAAGTTGACACATAAATGAACTGTCACAGGGGTAGACCATCTTAAATGAGGCAGTATAATGGGGTATTTATGTGTCTGACCCTAGAGCCCAGAAATTACTCCTTCTCCATCAGTTACTAGATTGAAATCCTGGAAGTTACTTAACTTCATCTGTGCCTCAGTTTATTCATCATGAATGTGTGGTTAACAAGAATACCCATCTCCTTGGGGTTGGGGTGAGAATTGCTAGAATTAATACTTATAACAAATGGGTTTTAAATATTTGACATAGCTATTATTATTAAATTAACAGCAAAACAGTTACATAAATATTTTAAACACCCTTCACACAGGACACAGTACAACTAGCCCCCCATTTGTGCCTTCCTATTTATAGCTGAGTCTGTTCTGCCTCCCTAAAACTTCACTCCAGTCACTTTGATCCTGTGAAGTCGCACACATCCAGATGCATCTCTGGTTATTTTATAAGCCGCTAACCTAATTCATTATGTGTGGATTTTATGGGCTTAACTCTTCTTATAGGATGATCGTCTTTCTTTCGTTCTTAAGGATTGTCCCATTGTTCCGATCTGTGAAGTCATATGTATGAGCAGCATAAACGAGATGTAGAAACTCAGGGGAGGTAAAGTCATTACTGGCTAGAATGACTAGGGTGACCTGTCTAGATGCCAAATGGCTTAATCAGAAATGATCTGATCTAGACCTGGCTATCAGAGGCATGCGCAAGGGATTTTGTAGTGAAGCTATTTTAAGCAAAGGACTTAAAAATTTTTAGTCTGGAGTTCCATAGCAATGAAAAATCTTTTTGAAGTTAATTATCCTTATATGAAATCATACTCTTAATTCCATACCATGTAACTCTTCCCCAGGGTGCAACTTTCTTAGCCCACAAGCATCTCTTTGCTATCTACCATGAAAAGGGACACAAAGCTCTAGTTTTTGCTTTTAAATTCTTCAGTTAAAATGGAAAACCTCTTTTTAGACTTTCTAAAAACTCACCTTCTCTAAAATCATGGGGCCTGGTTCTTAAACTTTATAGAAAAACCTAGGTCTTTGAGGCTGGCATACATTAGCATATTAAAGAATGTGATACACAAATGTTGCTTTAAACATACTAATATGTTAAAACATGACCAACTTATTCTGGTTGAATAATTTTAAATCAATTCAAAATTAATTAACCATATGGATTTTTAGAAGAAAGAAAGTCGTGGCACAAAATTCAGTCTTTCGGGCCCGGGGTGTACCACTTCCTCAGTCTTATCAGCCCCCCTCAGTATCACTTTATTTCCTCATGAAATCAGAATAATATAGCGTGTACTTCACAAAGTGTACGGGGTAGTTTTGAGGAATAAAAAATACAGTATATAACGGACTTACCTAATAGTAGGAAACAGTGTAAGTACATTTTAAAGTGTTTATTTACTTGCAAAACAACCTTTATGCAATAGCGATAAGATCTAAGATTATACCATATATGTAAAAAAATTACAGAAAATTAGCTTTGGATAATTTACTAAGTCAAATAGTCAAGAGATGCCAGAATTGAATTTTATATCAGTAATCTCAAGGGAATATGTAATCGACACATGGTGTTTATGTTGCAAAGATGAGGAAATCAAGTCAGAAAATTTCTCAGGTTCCTCTAATCTCCAAAATTCAGAACCTGATCCCCACACCTGGGTTGTATAATTTCAGGGGGTTCACCTAATACAAGTTTCTCTGCATTTTGATAAATGACCACTAGAGGGCAGGAGAACCAAACGAAGTCTTCATACCGTTCACCAAGATTGAAGTTCTGCATTAGAAGGAATACTAATAGGTAACTCAACTAATACGTAACTATTCTCAATTAAAAGGTAACTATTTTTTATCATACAGTTGTTTTTCCTCAGTTATATTTCCGAAATAAACAAACCCATCTCTAGAGAGTCACAAAACATTTCCCAAGTTCAGGTGAAGCACATTCTAAATAGTAATCTACTTAATTTACAGTTTGTGAATTTTTCTCTGCAACTATAGACAATCAGCAATAAAATAATTACTTCTAAAATGATGTCTTTTAAAACAAAAAATTAGCCCTACATTTTTTGCCTGTTGAAAGAAACATTAAAAGTGACTTTTCTCACATTGCTTCAATGTATAAACTATTTTTGAAAATTAAAAAAGCTATGTGTATTATAAAAATAATCTCACGACATCCAGAATGTTTTAAATTATGTCATCTACCTCATTGCTCCATTCCACAGGTAACACTGCTAAGTTTCTCATATACTGTACTACAAAAATGTACTCTGCATACCAAGCATCGTAGATGGATGGGGAGAAAACATGAGGTCGCACATGCGTCACACCTGTGCCCAAGTGGGGATGCACAGAGGAAAGGGCCCTACATGGGAGAGGTGGGCAGGGGGTCCCTCAGGATCCTAGGGGCTCTCATTCCCAAAGCAAACCCTGGCCTCGGGATACTGAACCCTCCCTTCTCCTCTGGACTCGGCCCACCTCTCGGGCCCTGGGCCAGTCCCCAACTCTCCTGGTCTCAGATTCCCCCGATTGTCCCAGGAGGGGATGGACACGGAACTGTGGGGGCCTCACTCGGTGTGGACACGGCCTGGGCTCCTCGCCCCCAGGGCCCTGGGTGGGTGCAGCAGGATGCGCTCAGGGGTGCAGGGGCCTCCCTCCCACGTGCAGACTCAGCGCGGGGCCGCTGGCCCCGCGTCCAAGTCCACCTCCCGGCTCACACGCAGACCCCGGGCAGCGCGGGCTACAAGACCCAACATGAGCATCAGCCGTTGGTGCACTGGGCACATGAGCTCAGGGCACCAACGGCTCCCAGCCCGGCCGTTATCTCATGGCCCCAACGGCCGCTGCTCTGCGACCCCATGACCCCTGGGACCCCCAGGCCACCCTACTCCAGTCAGGCTGGCTGGAGACCTGGGAACGTGAAAGTCACGGAATACCCCCCATACACAACCTGCTGTCCTGGTCCCCAGACTCCTCCCCGAGGCCAGCTCGGTGCACGGCTGGGTCAGGGAGCCTAGAGGTAGTGTAGACACGGGCCTGGGCAGGAGAAGGGCAGGCCACCCCGCCACTCCTCCACACCCGCCTCTCCCTGCCTTCTCTAGCAGGACCCTGGGACACACACCAGGTACAGCCTGGCCCTGGCCGCGGCCCTGGCTGGTGTAGCAGGGACTGGAGGGAGCCCCCAGAGGAGGTGGCCCCACAGGGAGGGCCGAGTGAGTGTTGGGGGTAATTCCTGTTACTAGGGAGCCCCTCCTGGGCACTCAGTGCCAAATTTATAGATGAGCCATGGCATGGCATGGGTCACTCAGCTCTAAGTGACCAAGCCCAGCCAAACTGAGACTCTGAGAAGTCACCACGAAGATTGCCTGTCACGGGGCTGTGACTGGCCCCAGGTCAATCTCACCCCAAAGGCCATGCTGTGCCCAGGAGCCCAAGAGGTGGCCCCTGAGCCCAGGCTTGGAGGTGAGTCCATTGTGGATGGGGGAGTATGGGGAGGGGCAAGGGCGGTGGGGTCCATGGGTGAAGAAGGCTCTAGGGAGGCTGGAGGGAGGGAGGGTGACGGTGCACACTGGGGAGGTCTTCTGGATATGAACACATAGGGCTCTGAGCTCCAAGCAAGGAGTCAGGGGACACTGCAGGTTGGGGGTGGGCAGGAGACACAATCCAGGTGGTCCAACCAGAGCCACAGCATCTTAGACCTGGAGCGAGCTTAATGAGCATGGATCCCCAGGAACCGCCCAGGGCTAAGGAGACCGCCTCTGTGTCCTCATGGTGCAGCGGAGCGCTGGCGTGCCCAGCCTGTTGGAGGGCATCGTGGCTGCAGCAGGAGAGTTTCAGGATGAATCAGGGCTCCAGGGGTGGCCTGGGCTGGCAGGTTTGGGGGAAGATGCCCACCTGGTCTGGGACTCTGTGGTGTGTAAACGCTTAGCTACCTGACTAGAAAGACCCTGGGGGACGTGGCCTTGTGCTGGTTGGCGCTGGGGACCGATTAGAAGGAGCCCTTGGCAATCTCGAGTCCCTAGCTCCAGGCCTGACCTGCGTCCCCAAGGTGAAAGTCCACGTCTTCGGGACAAAGTCCTGAAGGGCCCATGTTGTAGAACAGGTTGGCGTTGTCAGGGATCATTAGCTCTGGTCAGGGAAGGGCGGGGGAAAGGTCAGCTGTGCTCAGGAGGGGCGACGGGCCAGGGAGAAGAAATGCTTAGAAACAAGAGATGAGTGGAGGGCAGGGGGGTGGGAGGGACATGGGGATTGGGACCCTTCCTGGTGCCAGGTTCCCCACTCTGCACCCACAGAAAGAGCCAATATCCCTGGGTCGGGAACAGAGCTTCTGAGATCTCTCAGAGCTAGAAGCAGGCCTGGGTGCTGGCAGAATCCGGGCCTCTGCAGTACTGCACACAGGATTCCTGTTTTGTGTGATAAAAACATTCTAGAAATAGATCATGGGGATGGGTGCACAGCATATTGAATTTGCTTAATGCCATTGAATTGTATAATTTAAAATGATTAAAAGGTAAATTTTAAAACATAAAATCTAATAAGCCATTAAACTATATGAAATAGAAAACATTTGGAAAAAAAAAAAGCTGTCATCACAAGGGAAGGGAAGAAGCTCTGGTACTGAAGCTGATGCTGACGGGGATGCCAGAGCCACTGCAGCAGCAGATGCTGGAGACGCACCTGGCTTGGGCTGGGCACCAGCACAGATCTGGTGCCAGAGCTGGTACAGGAGCTCTCACTCTGTGGCTGCCTCTCATTCCGGCCCCAGGACCACAGTGGGTGAGGAAACTGAGGATGAGCCTGGATCACTTTCAGCCTGGATCTAGAACTGGAGCTGCTGTAACTCCTAAGCTGGTCCAAGGGTTCAGGCTGGAGGCGTCTGTAGTTCTGTAGCTGGTCCTCAATCTCGCTGTGTAGCTGGGGCCAGACAGACACATCTTCCCAGCTATGCGAGATCTTGGGCTGGAAGTGGCTGTAGCTTTGTGTCTCCCACTGGCAAGCTGTGGGTTAGATGCTGTCCTGCCTGCTAGGCTGTGAGCTCTGAGGTCAGGAAGGTGTCCAGGGTTCACATTTATATTGCAGGTGCCTGCACACTACAAGAAGCAGTACACGTGAATATGTGAATGAGTCCATCCCCCAGCCCAGGGCTTCTTTGTGTGTCAGGCTTCACATCTGTAAACGAACAGCACTACCTCCTGGGACCGTTGGGAGGATCACACTGACTGAATACATATGTAAGTGCCTTTTGTGTGCTGGGCACCGTCGCAGAGACCTGGGAGCAGAGCAAAGGAGCGCCACAGCCCGGGCTCACGCGGAGCTGACCAGACCAGGGCGTGAGTGAGGAGCGCGGGTCACAGGGGTGTGTCCCAGCCCAGCCGGGGCAGCTGCCAGGATCAGCAGTGGAGCCCTGTCCTCGTCAGCCAGTGAAGACCAGTTTAGGTGGGGCTGGAGGGGACGTGGGCTCCTTGGTCTGAACGCTCATGCTACATGGGATCCCTGTGCAACCATTCCCCTCACAAGTCCTCAGTTTTGCCATCTTTACAGTGGGCATCTGAGGAAATCCATTCCTAGCTTCCTCCATGAAGTTTGTCTTGATCCTATGAGACAAAGAACTCCCTGTGACCTGTCTTCTCATTGGAAACCCCAGTGTGCTCCAAGGGAACTGCTGTGTCTTCCAGGAGGCTGCTCAGGTCCCCATTCTGGTCGGTGTCTAAACTGGGCTCAGAGCCCTGGGCTTTAAGCCCCAGTGCCCACAATGCCCCTGGCATTGGTGGCACAGTAGTGAAGCCATGTCCACAGGTGCTCAAAAAGCCAGCTGGAAGTGGGAGGGGCAGAACAGCAAGGATGCTAACCTTCCTCTGGCTTTGGGTTCTGAGGAATGCTTTCCTAGGTTCAGTTGTCTTTCTACCAGTGACGTTTGCCTTGTTTTTGCTGGGCCTCTCTGGAGCTGGCCCTGGCACTGCAGTGATGCAGCTGGATCGAGGTCTTGAGATAGTACAGCAGCTGGCGCTGGAGCCAGCCTCACCGCGGGAGGGCAGTGGAGCTGCAAGAGGAGAAAAAGGTCACCGGCGTGACTGCGCTCCCATGCGCCTTCCAAAGACCACACATCCCGGTGCTTTCCAGAGGAGCCAGAGCCCAAGAGCCCACAGGAGGAAGTCCTCCCAGGCTGAGGGGTGGTCCCAGGCCAGTCTTTGCTCCTGGTCGGACAGCGGCCCCTGGGGGCTTTGACCTGAGGGGCCCATAGGGACCCCTCCTCCTATGCTCATGTGCGCGCACCCCTGGCCTCCTCACCCTGGGCTCGGCTCTGCCTCCTGTGCTCCTGGTCCCCCAGCTGGGTCAGAAGAAGGTAGGCCTGGGGCTCCAGGTCTGAGCCCAGCGTGCTGAGCTGCATGTAAGCCATAAACTGCCTGAGGCTGAGGGCTGACAAAAATCCTCCAGAAACTGGTCCAGTCAGGTGCCCAGGAAGGAGCAGGTGGTACTGGAGGTAGACGGCGTGCAGCAGAGTCAGAGGCCTGGCCTTTCCTTCCTTTCCACAGGCGCCCCTGTGGGCCCCGGTGCCAGCCCCTGCCCATCCAGAGGCCAGCCCCACCTCAGCCCGCCCCCACCTGGCTGCCAAGCAGGGGCAGGCCTGGTAACAGGCAGGGGCTACAAACAGTGTCCATGCAGGAGACTCTGACCACCCGCCCCCTCCCTCAGGGAAGCCAGGCACAGCCCTCTGTCTGTCCCCGCCCCGCTGGAACATCCACCCCAGGGGGGCAGGGAGGGCTGCGCTGCTCTGGTCACTGCCCACAGTAGGGCTCCGTGCGCAGCTGGGCTCGGAGGATGGGCGACAAGGCCGATGTGTGATCGGGATACCCGGCACACCTCTGTCCTAAGCCCTCAGATTGGGGAAGGGGCAAGCACGGCTGGGCTGTGGGTATATGCATCTTCTCTGCAGACTGGCTCTGAGCTCTCAGCCTCCCCTCTGCTCCCTGGGGACCCGGGACCCCAGCCACAGCTATCTGACTCCTTTCTTCCTGCAGGAAAAGCCCTCAGCTCTCAGCCCTCTAGCGGGAATCACAAGATGTGAGGGATCCAGGGTTCTGCCTGAACCCCCAACCTCAGCCCCCAAATGTCACCCCGTGTGGAGACAGGAGTCCTCTCCTTGATGCCCACTCACTTCTTTAGTTGTTCCCGGGGTCCGTCCTCCTTCTGACAATGAGGGCAGAGGGACCCCTATCCAGAGGAGGCCAGGAGGGCATCACACGTGTCCACTACCTGCCTTGGTGTCCAGTGGGACTGGTGGACCCCGGACCAGAATGGAAGCCCGGGGGGGGCAGAGATTTTTGTCCACTCTGTTCACTGAACTCTGCTAAGTGCTTAGAAAAGGGTCTGTGCACAGTAGGTACTTTATGTACTGTTGACAGAATGAAACTTCTCGGATGTCTGAGTGTACCTGGGGCCCCCCAGCCAGCCGCCAGGGATCCCTGCTCTGGCTACACCCAGGACAGAGGACCCCGCCCAACAGACAGAACGTGAAACCTCCTTTACAAATGGGAGAGAGCCTGGCCCACGGTCACAGGATAAGTGAGGCTTGAAGCAGAAACCTTCCTCATGGAGGAGAGGAAAATCATAAATAAGAAGCACCACATCCTTTCCACAGGCCAGGCAGGTACTCAGCACTTCCCGTAGCTTGTCCCACTGAGTCCTGGCAGTAACCCTATGAGTTTGGTCCTTGTCATACCCCAGCTGTCACATGAGCAAACCCAGGAACAGAGAGGTGAAGCGACATTCCCAAAACACACAGCTGTGCTGTAGAGGGGAGAAGCACCCACCTTTTCACTGGCAGGCCGGGGACCTGCTGGGTGCCAATGACGTTTCAGCAGGTGGAGGGGAGGTGGGACACAGGAGCTCTGCTCCAGTGGGCAGGAACCAGATTCTCCACGTTCAGGGCTGACTTGTTTTCATGCTGGGGTGGACAGAAGGGGGACACTTCAAATAATGTATGTAAACAGTAGGAAAATGCAAAAATACAGCCATAGCAAGAAGCCAAAGCAATATATAAAGAATTTTCTCAGATATCCCCCCAAATATATGAAAAGTAATTTTGCAACTGACCAAGGAGGGGGCTGACTGGTGGAGGTAGAGGAAGGGAGGAGCCCAGACTCCTTGGGACCCTGGCCACTCAGGTGCAAAGCCCCTGGGCCTGTAACCCCCAACACACACACAAACACACACACACACTGGGCCTTCCAGTGGCGATCATTCTAGCATCTGCTTCCGGATGTCATCAGGCCTATAAGAGATAAGACCAATGAAACCCCAGGGGTGATATCACACGAGGCTAATGCACACACTCAGAGATGGATGATTACAGAAAGGGGTGGGATGTAGCTAGAATACAACTCAAAACTGGCGTGGGTTCTTGTCCGCAATCTTCCCCCCTTTTGGCCTTATGCCCTAGTCTCTCCCATGGAGGGGTTAAAATGAAATTCAGATACTCCCCTTCTCTGGCATGAAACTTTCCAAGGACCTCCCACATTTAGAATCAGGCCCCCAAGTGCCTCATCTCGGCCTGTGTGTCCCTCTGTCCCCTGGTACACAGGCTTACGTGATCCCTGGTGTCCTTCCCTGCGCCAGTTGCTCCGTTAACCACAGTGGGCACAACTTCCCCCTGGTGGTCACCGGCAGCACTGCAGCGCCAGACAGGAAACCAGAAATTAAACAGACCTTTGTTTGGGGTCATCAAGGCAAGCCCCACTTTTGTGGGGCTCCCAGGCCCCAGGGGGCAAAGAAGCAGGACCTACGGGATCCAGGGGGGAGCAGAGGGACCTTGGATCCTCCATGTCTCCCAGTTTCCCTCCACTGTCCTGGGACATCCATGAGGACAGGAGGCCTCACCCCAGGCAATGACTCCGCCCCCTTCCACCTCAGGACTGGAGGCTCCTGCAGGGAGGGTCTGTTCCCTGGCCCCCGGAGGAGCGGTCCAGGGCTCTACCATGTTGTGCACTACCCAGGTCCCCAGGCTGTCCTCTGCTCCCAAGGGCCCCAGGAGGTAGAAAACATTTACAGGACTCAGCACAGCGGGTCGCCAACAGAGAACCAAGGCCAACACACTCTTCTATGAAATCATGGAACCCTCGGGGTCCCGCCCAAGCACAACAATTTGTAGAGGATGAAGCAGGTCTTCCCTCCCGTATCCTGGTGTCCCCTGGCATGGGAGTGGGAGTCTTGGGAGCCTACCCTCGTCCCACGCGCTCAGAGCGGTGGACACAAGGCCTCAGACCCTGTCCTCTCCCCGCTGCCCTGGGGATGGCCCTGCCCAGACGACCCTGGGAACCTCTGAGTCCCCGCCCAGCAGCCCGGCATCTCTCCGCTCCGGATGCCGTGCGCCGCCAGCGTGTTGCTAGGAGACTGGGTGCTGGGCCTACTCCCTCCTGGACCGCAAAGCCCACCCGGCGCGTGCGCACATGCTCTCCCCAACGCCCTACCTTCCGTCTCCGCCCATGTGGGCGTGTCCACTGCCCACGAGCGCTTCTAGCTAACCGGCCGCGTCGCTAGCCAATCAGGGTGTCCACCACCGGGGCCTCCAGCCAATCAGGTGTCCACCATCGAAGCCGCCGGCCAATCGAAGTGTCCACCACCGTGCCGCCAGCGAATCCCGGCACCCACTACGGTGGCGTCCCTCGGAGCCGCGCGGTAGCTGTAGATGTGATCTGAAGCATGGAGAAGATACCTGTCCTGGGCCTGGGCATCTGGAAGGTGAGGCGGCCCCGTGGTCGGGGAGGGGCGGCGCCTTTCCTCGGCGCTCCCTGACGTGGAGGGGCCACCTACCTGGACACCCGCGGGGACACCCCCGGGACCCCTGCCTCAGCCTCCGCAGGCCCAGCTGATCGCCCGCACCTGCTGCAGGGCTCCTCCTGTGTTTGAAAGATGGAATATTTAGATATCAGATTTTCTAAAAATGGAGGTTGTCCTTATTCATATTGAATCCCAATCATAATTATTCAGAAATAACGTCCGGGAAAGCCCAGAAGAAAAGGTGGTCGTGCTTGGATAAGGGCGGGAAGATTGGCAGTCACCTCACAGATCAGAGCAGCAGCTAACCGGAAGATTGCGGAAATGTCTGTATCAAAGAGACAAGGAAATGCTGCCATTGCCAGTTTGGTTTTAAAAAGAAACCTTGATTTTTATTTTTTTTGCGGTACGCGGGCTTCTGACTGTTGTGGCCTCTCGCGTTGTGGAGCACAGGCTCCGGACGCGCAAGCCCGGCGGCCATGGCTCACGGGCCCAACCGCTCTGTGGCATGTGGGATCTTCCCGGACCGGGGCACGAACCCGTGTCGCCTAGCATCGGCAGGCGGACTCTCAACCACTGTGCCACCAGGGAAGCCCTAAAAAGAAACATTGAAACTTTGTCTTCTTCCCTGTGTAAAAACCTGATAGTGGAAGTACTTTGGACCTTTCTCTACTTCGGACTTTCTAATTCCTGTCAGTGATTTAGACATAGCACTAACTAAAAAGCTTTTCAAATTTGCTTTCTTTTAAAACTTAGTCTTCGGTAAAAAGATATCCATTTAAGAAGTCACATAGGGGGCTTCCCTGGTGGCGCAGTGGTTGAGAGTCCGCCTGCCGATGCAGAGGACGCGGGTTCCTGCCCCGGTCCGGGAAGATCCCACGTGCCGCGGAGCGGCTAGGCCCATAAGCCATGGCCGCTGAGCCTGCGCGTCCGGGGCCTGTGCTCCACAACGGGAGGGGCTCCAACAGTGAGAGGCCCGCGTACCGCAAAAACAACAAAAAAAAGAAGTCACATAGGAAGTTGTTGGATGAGTAGGAATTCGAATGATCCACCCTTGCTCATCAAAATATTATTTAAATTATTTCTTCTATCCACTTAACTCGTAGAGGCCAGGGATGTAGTTTAATTCATTGTGGTTTGGTAGAATGAGTTGGAATTATTTCCTCTTTACCTCTTGTCAGAAAGATTTTGTTTTAAAGTGGGGTGAATTCTGACTTGAACATTTTGTAGAACTATGTGTGTGTTGTGTTTAATTGCTTCATTTTAAAAATAACTGTAGGACAATTGAGCTTTATTTCTTCTTGAGTTAAGTTTTTCTAGGAATATTTCCATTTTATTTCATTTCTCCAAATTGTCGGCTTCTAGTCATTGATAATAGTTTCTTAGATTTTAAATCTCTGTTTTTATCTATATGTACTGCTTTCCTTTCATGTCATTTTTTAAAAAAATTGGTCTCCTCAGTCTTGTCATAGTTTTGTCTACTTTAGGGAATTCCCTGGTGGCCCAGTGGTTAGGCCTCCATGCTCCCACTGCTTGGGGCCCGGGTTCGATCCCTGGTTGGGGAACTAAGATTCCACATGCTGTGCAGCGCAGCCAAAAAAAAAAAATGGACAACAACCAAAAAGTTTGTCTACTTTATTAAGATTTTTCAAAGAACTAACCACTGGCTTTGTTGATCTTCTTTATTGATATTTGATATTCATTCTTATTTTCGTAAGTGGTTCTTCTAACTTTGAGGTGGACACTTAGTTCATTAGCTCCCAGCCACTCTGAATGTGTTCTCGTTAAATGAAGATCATTATACTGATGCATCTCGTGAGGTGATGTCAAGTTCAAGTGAGAAAGCGCCTTGTGAGCTGTGAAGCCCTTTGGGAACATGGGGTTTAATGGTCCTGTGAGCCGTCCCGGGCCTCTTCCCCTGGTTCCAGGCCCCTCGCCTGCTAGAACAACCCCGTTCACAGTGAGCATTTTCTTTTCCGAACTTCCGCATTCCTGATAGAGTCCATCTCGTTCCTTTGGGTCTGGCAGATGCTCTGTGTGATGGATTATCTTTGTGTGCACGTGTTACCTTCACACTTGGGCTGATAGTCTTTGTGGGTAGAGGGTGAGCCTGTACCTCCTTGCGGCTCACCTATCATCTTTATTCCTCCTAAATTTATTTATTCCTGTGTTCCATTCTGGAAACACGGCCTCTAGCTCAGTTATTTGCAAGCACTAAAAATACCTAAAGCGTTTTCCCCAAATAAGTAAAGGAATTTGAACTTAGATTAACTATAAATCCTTTCTGACTCTGACATTCCCTAATTTTAGGACAAAGGGATAGGAGTACCAATTCAGTAACTTCATTTTTTACGGATCATTGGCTGTGCATTCTAGAGTGCAAAGGGGGAATTAGGGTTGGCCTCTCCTGAATGTGGGTGGTTTACTTCTGTTCCTTGTTTTGCAGGCGGCCCCAGGGGAAGTGACGGAGGCAGTAAAAGTTGCGATAGAAGTGGGCTTGTACCACAACGAGAATGAGGTTGGAGTGGGGATCCAGTGCAAGGTCAAGGAGGGCATGGTGAGGTGGAAGGACCTGTTTATTGTCAGCAAGGTGAGCCTTCCCTGGCAGAGAGAGCGGGCTGCAGACTGCTCAGGACTGGGCCACGAGATGCGGGGAGCAGCACAGGGAGGGTTCTCGGTCTCCTCACGCGAGCTGATGACTCCACCTGTGCTTGAACCGGACGGGACAGGACTTCTGCGGCTTCGTGCAGATGCTGGGATTGGTGCGGTCAAGGGGTCGGGGACAGCATGACAGGCAGAGGTGACCTCTTGAGCAAAGGCACAGGGTATGGGACAGCGCGGGGTACAGGGGCCCATAAGAAGCTTGACGTTCCTACATGGAAAAATGTTAGGCAGCAGAGATGCGAGGCTGGGGAAGCAGATGGGCCGACGGTGGAAGTCCGGATGCCATTTGAGGAGCTTATTCTTCTCCCCTTAGATAAAGGACCACCGCTGAAGGCTTTGAAGTAGGGAGCTTGTATTCTATGTAAGAGAGACTTGTGTTGTGTCGAGGTGATCGTAGCCGCTGAAAGAAGCACGTGTTTGAACAGGAGGCAGGAGACAGGCGACAGTAACAGCCGTAGAGGCGGGGGTGATGACGGCCTGAACTAGGATGCAGGTCAGGACGGGACAGAGAAAGGATTACGGACATCCTGGAAAGGATTCCTCCTACATTAGGCTGAATGATCGCTGCTTGGGCGTCTCCCATGAGAGCACCTTTTCTGAGAATCTCATGGTGTAAGCTGAGCTGTCGCTCATCTTTTTAGACTAAACAAGAAAAACTGCTTCATTCCTAGTGCAGCTCTACTTTAAGTCATTGTATTAGTTTCAGTAAAGGATGTAGCAACTGTGCATCAGTCACAGTAACAGAGAGCAGAAGATGCCTAGAAAGCAAAACAAGAGAGGATGATTCAGAAACGACTTATGTATGTTTGGAATCCAATGTTCAGAGAATAATACTTAGAATAACGATAATAGCTGTCTTGCACTTACTGTCAGCTAATAGTATGATTTTAATGATGTACCAGGCACTGTTTTACACTTACTTTCTCAGTTAATCCTCACAAGCCTGTAAGGTGGGGACTGTTGTTAACACCCCATTATACAGGTGATGAAACTGAGGCACAGAAAGTCTTAGTAAGATTATCGGTCCCAGAAGCAGGTACTCAGGTCAGACCCTCTTACCCTGCCTGGGGAACTGCCTCATTTTCTAGGGGTCCCTGCAGTTGGCTGCCTAGGTGGTAGAAAAGTAAAAGGTCTCAGATCACTCAACAAATAGCAGAGTAGAATTCTATTTATGAGTAATTAAGAGCCAACAAAATAAAACAGAGGGCTTCCCTGGTGGCGCAGTGGTTGAGAGTCCGCCTGACGATGCAGGGGACACGGGTTCGTGCCCCGGTCCGGGAAGATCCCACGTGCCGTGGAGCGGCTGGGCCTGTGAGCCATGGCCGCTGAGCCTGCGCGTCCGGAGCCTGTGCTCAGCAACGGGAGAGGCCACAACAGTGAGAGGCCACGTACAGAAAAAAAAAAAAAGAAAGGAATCCAAAAGGGAGGAGCAGGTGTGGAGCCGGTGTGGAGCCGACAATTTTCTAGTTGCTCATTTTACAGTAAACTTTTATTTTGTGAGAACTGTAAATTCACATGCTGTTGAAAGAAATAATACAGAGAAATCTCGTGTCCCCTCTGCTCAGCTCCCCGCAACGTTACCATCTTGCAAGATGACAGCCCCATGTCATGACAAGGATATCAACAATGATACAACCCACTGAGCTTATTCAGATTTTCCCAAATTTGTGCTGGGCGTGCATTTAGTTCTGTGCAATTTTTTCACCTATGTGTTTCATGAATAGTGGCCACAGTTAGGACAGAGAACTTCTCCATCACCAATCCCTTTTCTAACTGTTCCCCCCTCTCTTCTGCCCCACTCCCTCCTTTAATTTTCCAGCTTTCTTGAGGTGTAATTGACAAATAAACTGTATGTGTTTTAAGTGTGCAGTGTGATGATCTGACACACGTGCACATTGTGAAATGATTCCCACAATCAAGTTAACTCCCGTCACATCACATAGCTCCCTTTTTTGTGTGTGGTTAGAAGGCTTAAGATTTACTCTAACAGAGTAAGTAGTAGATACTAGTGCCATAAATATAAAAATCAATTTTTAAAATTAGAATAGTTATAAACTAAAAGTACTATCCTCATTGTCAATTCTATTGGTTGATTCCATGAAAGGACATTGGATGAGATTCATCACACTTTCTTTTTTTTTCCCCCAGCTTTAATGTTGTATAATTGACAATTAAAATTATAGATAGTGATGATCTGATATTCATATACATGGTGAAATGATCCCTACATGCAATCAACGTAATTAACACATCCATCAACTGTCAGATTCCTTTTTTTGTTTTTGTTTTGTTGGGAACCCTTAAGATCTGTTCTCTAAGCAAATTCAATTCTACACTACAGTATTATTAACTACAGTCAGCATTCTGTACATGAGAACCTCAGAACTTACTCATCTCATAACTGAAATTTGGTACCCTTTGACAAACATCTCCCTATTTTCCCCACTCCGATCACATGCATGTTAGATCTTTTGTTATTATTCCACAGGTCCCCAAGGCCCTGTTCCTATTTTTTTAAAAAACCTACTTTCTCTCTCTTGTTCCCACTGGGTAATTGATATCACTCTATCTTCCAGCACACTGTTTATTTCCTTTGTTCCTTCAAATCTACTGAGGTTATCCACTGAGTTTTCAATTTTTATTATTGTATTTTTCAGTTCTAAAATTACCATTAGGTTTTTCTTTATGTCTTCTATTTCTTTGCTAGGACACTATTTCCTTGTTGAAACTTTTTACTTTTTCATTTGTCCCCAGTATGTTTGTAATGGCTTGTTGAAACAGTTTCATGATGGCTGCTTTAAAATCTTGGTCAGATAATTCTAATATCTCAGTCATCTTGGTGTGTGTATCTGTAGCTTGTCTTTTTTAATTCAATTTGATGCCTTGTTTTAGGTATAATGAGTAATTTTTTATTGAAATCTGGACATTTGGGGTATTGTGTATTCATTAAGTTTTAGATCCCTTTAAAAGGTCTCATAAAATTATATAGTGCAGCAAATTCACAGAACAAAAGGGGAAAAAACACACAAGAACTACAGACAGGTGAAAAGCCAGACTTCGAAAATTTGGAAAATATACTATGGTTAGCTTTTTCTGGGGGATCCATATCTCCTATGATCACTTCCAGGGCTGACAGCATTTCAACCTCAGTTATACAGGGAAACAAAACAAAACAGATAAACCAAAAAAGCCAAAGCAGCAGTAGGTTGGATTGTTTGAAATGTATCTTTATTTACTTTGGGGGAAAAAGACTGGGTTTAGAGATTTTTATTTCCTGCTCCAGGGACTCCAGCCATATCGCGACTGATCAGGCTAAGTGACATGCAACGAAGCAGGTACGTTCTCATCCTTGAGATGTCCTCCAATCATCAACCCAAAACTGAGAACTCTGGAGCAACCACAGACACTGCTGTTAATATTCAACATGAAATGGATAATTTGGATGATGAGACAGTCTAAAAGATAAAGGGAGAGTCTTAGTCAAGTAACTGTTTCTGGGCTGGGTAAAGAGAGGTTTCTTTTAAACTGGCTTAAGCATGAGAATTAATGTAGTTTTCTTTTTTGGACAAGTACAAACCCAACAAGTTTTATAACAACCATATACAATTGTATTACAATGTAATGAACACACTGTAAAAATAAATATACTTACATGCACTTGGGCACACACACAAAAATAAACCAATATATTCCATTTTTTAGGTATATTATTCTACAACTTAAAGAGATAAACTATTTGCGTTGATATTATAAACTCCCAAGAGGGCAGAAATAAGTTCTTCCTCTTTTAAAACAGTGCCAATCTGGTTTAATACCTAAAGTTAACAAATATTTCAAGGTGATGATGTGGAAGGTCACAAGAATATCACTGTTGTTCAATTTCTTTCAAGCACTCAGAAATAATTTACCTATGACTTTGTTGGGTGAAAAATTATATATTAGATCTAGAGATAGAGTGATTATAATATAAGCCACTTCAACAGGGGTTTCCATTTTTAGCAAAGGAAGTGAACTGTCTTTGTATATATAAAGTACAGTAAGTCCCCTATATGCGAACCTTCAAGTTGCAAACTTTCAAAGTTGTGAACGTGCGTTCCATCAACGTCAGGCATGAGTGAAATTACAGCTTGCCCGCTGTCTCCTACTACTGATGATCCTTCAGCTCTACCATCTCCCATCTCCTCTCCCTCCTGCAGGCAGTAACTCTTCTTGCCCGTTCACTCAATGCCAGCCCCTGGATGCCAGGTGTTGTACTGTACTACTGTACTTTTCAAGGTACTGTACTGTAAGATTAAAAATGTTTTCTTTATTTTTTGTGTTTATTTGTTATGTATGTTTGTGTGAAAAGTATTATAAACCTATTACAGTGCAGTACTATATAGCCGATTGTGTTAATTGGTTACCTAGGCTAACCTTGTTGGACTTACAAATGCGCTCTCGGAAGGAGACTCATTCTTATGTAGGGGACTTACTGTAATCATTTTCGAGGTAGGCAATGCTAAACCACTGGATAATTATTGTTGATTAAAATGATTGATATTAATTGTTAAAAATTACTACCTGCTTCTTCACTGTCCCTCACTTTTCCCTGTCTATCATTTTCTTATATTATTCATTCAACAAACATTTACTAATTACTCAGAGAGGGGCAGTTTTTTAAAATTCCTTCCCTACGAATCTAACGTTCTGTGGTAAACAGAAAGTAAACAGAATAGGTTAGCAAACCACACGGTATGTTAATTAGGGAGGTGGGCCAAGAGAAAAAGGGAGCAGGATGGAGGGGAAGGAAGGGCTGTACAGGGCTGCATTTTTAGATAAAGTGACAGAGAAGGTGTCACAGAGGTGCCATCTGAGTTAAGACTGACAGTGGTGAAGGAGTGACCATCCAGGTATTTGGAGGAAGAGCGTTCTGGGCAGAGGGAACAGACAGTGCAAAGGCCCCAAGATGGGCCTGATGCATGTGGGGGACAGCAAGGAGGCCACTGGGCTGCACTGGAGTCAGAAGGGGCAGAACAGCAGGACTTAGAGGCAGAGGCATGGGGAGACCATATCCTGCTGGACTTTGTAGGTTTTGTGAGGACTCTGGCCTTTACTCTGAGTGAGAAGACAGGCCACCAGTTACCGAGACAGGATTTCCCCACCAGACCTACTATTTTTTTTGTTTGTTTTTTGTGGGGTTTTTTTTCCAGAAAATAGTAGTGTTTTTATTTTTTATTTTTTTTATTTAGTTTAATTTTTATTTTATATTGGAGTATAGTTTATTTACAATTTTGTGTTAGTTTCAGGTGTGCAGCAAAGTGATTTAGTTATACATATACATATATCCATTCTTCTTCAGATTCTCTTCCCATATAGGTTATTACAGAATATTGAATAGAGTTCCCTATACTATATATTTTATATGTAGTAGCGTGTATATGTTAAATAAGTCAGACAGAGAAAGATAAATATCATATGATATCACTTATATGTAGAATCTAAAAAGAATGATACAAATGAACTTATTTACAAAACAGAAACAGACTCACAGACATAGAAAACAAACTTACGGTTACCAAAGGGGAAAGGTGTTGGGGGAGGGATATTAGGAGTTTGGGATTAACATATACAGACCTACATTTTTACCTCATTCACTCTGGTGAGTACGGGCAGAGACGAAGTACAGAAGCAGAGAGAGCAAATAGCAGCCACTTAGTTGATCAGGAAGATTCTGATACAAGCATGTGAGGTATGTGGGGTTTGGGGGGGTGGGGTGGGTGCAGGTACCATCATGAGCTCAAGTGTAGACTTGATAAGTTTGAGTGGAGTAGAGCAAATGGATATACAAGTCTTGGTCCAGGGCCTAGGTCTGGGCTGGATATAATTTGGGGGAGTGTATATTTACCCAGTGTTTAGAGCACGGGACTAGATTAAGTACCAAGGATGAGGATGTGGATAGAAAAGAGAAGACGTCCAAGGATTGAGCCTTAGGTCACTCCAAAGTTAAGAGGTCAGGTTGATGAGGAGACACCTGCAAAGACCAGGAGAAGGAATGGCATGGGGCATAAGGGGAAACCAGATCTGCAGTGGAGAGAGCATAGCTGAGAAAGTGTTTCTAGGAGGAGTGACCCACTAGGTAAAATAAGATGGATGAGAATCACTGCTGGGTTAAGCAAAGAGGAGGTCATGGCTGACCTTGACAAGAGGAGCTTTGGCAGAGAGGAGGGCAAATGCCTGGTTTGTGTGGGTTCAGAAGAGAACGGGGAGAGAGACAAGAGAGGAAGAAAGCATGGACTTCTTCAAGAAGTTTTGCTGTAAAAGGAGAAACGGGGATGGTGGGGTGAGCTGCAGATGAAGTCAGTTTGAGACAGAGCTTCTTTGAAGATGAGGGAATGTTCCAATGCCTCTAGGAGTAATCTCATGGGGAGGGGAAATCTGATGAAGTAGAGGGAGAGAGAGCAGGATGTAACCAGGTTTTAGACCAATGAGTAAGACAAAGAAGAGAGAGGAGACTTGAAAATATGTGCAAAGGATGTCCTCGTATTGATTGATCCTGGAATTTAAGCAGAGGAAGGACAGAGGGGCATGGAGTAACAGGGGTATGAGGGCTTGAAGGAAAAATGTTTTCCATCCACTTCCCTAAAAGAAGAGGCAAGAGAAGACCCTGCCCTTTGTGGATTAGAATAAATGGAATTCCTTCATTACCCTGCTCCCCCAGCATCTACAATGGAACAGGGTACTTACGAATCTTCTTCAAAATAGCGCATGTTTCTGTTTAGGCCATCTAGACTTTGCATATCCTCTGGGGTCAACTGGAATTCAAAAACCTATCAGAAACGTGAGAAGATCAATTCAATTTCCTGGAGGCAATTACTGCAGCCCCTACATGCCCCCCACGTGCAGATACACACACAAATTTATGTAGGAATTTATGTAGGTTTCATGAGACAGTTGTCATGAACTTGGGATTCATTCCCTGATAAAAGTCATGGGCATTTGTCCATTCAAAGAGTTGAGATTAGCAATTCAGGTCACCCTCAGAGACTTGTATTGAATAGCTGTGGTGGTAGCCAAGGAATCCTTGAGATTTTTGAGCCCAGGTCTCACTTCAGCTAACTCCTTCATTTTTTTAGCTGAAGAAATCAAGGGATGATTTACTCAGGGCCATACTGCTGAGTGAAAACCAGGACTGAGACTCAAACCTGACGCTCTGTCGACTGTTCTTTACAACCACCAGGCCTCCTCGCTTGTAGGATTTGGAGGACAGGACAGTTAACTATAGCACATATACGCATAGAATATACAGGGAGATAAGCTTTGCCCCAATACACATTGGGAGCCTCCCAAGTAACCCATCCCAGGGAAAACGATGTGCTTCTGTCAGCCCCCTGCTGCCCCAAACCCTAGCAGGTACCTGGAAGTTCTCCTTGAGCCTCTTCTCATTGAAGCTCTTGGCCAGAGCAGCCACCCCTCTCTGCAGCTGATAGCGCAGGGTGACCTGGGCTGGAGTTCGCCTGTGCTTTTCAGCAATGGTGTTGAGTACTGGATCCTGCAGGAGAACTGGATTGTCCTTTTTCACCCTGGGAGGGAGGCAGAGGTGCTATGTGTCTGAGGTTGTGTATCCATTCTACTTGGGGATAGTTCATTCAGGCTAGGGGTGGTTGATCCTCTAGAATCTTCCTCATTACCTTCTGGTTGTCTCAATATTTCTTTGGCTTCTTTTGGTAAATCCAAAGAAGGACAAGGGAAAGAAAGGGAAAATCGGGTAGTTTTTTCATCTTTTAAACATTTCTGAGAAACTTAGTAAAAGATTGAATAAGTCAAGAAGACAAAATTGTTGTCCACAGTAAGACCCAATGACCACCATCATAATAACCAAGAATTTTATAAGAATTTGCTATTGCAAAAAATGCTCTCAACTAATTGTCTCCATTTTGTCCTCAACTGTTAAAAGGTACACATCTATATTCCTCTTGAAGAGATAAAGAAACTAAAACTTACAGAAGTTGTAACTTGTCTCATATCCCTCAATTGCTAAGTGTCAGAATCATGGCTTGGAATTACCTTGTCACTCTTTAAATCCAAACCTTTTGAATTGGATGAACATTTTAATCAGTAATAATTACTTTATTATTCAATAATGTTTTATTGAGTCCTCACAATGTAGGCTAGGTAAAGGGTTTGCAAAGATGGATGATTTCTCTTGACTATACTTAATTTCCTCCAGACGTTGAGAGATGTCTCCAGAAGGCACAGCATCTAGGGTCGGAATACCTTTATAGAGATCATTACCATTTTTTCCTTAAGTCAGACCCCAAGGTAGCATATGCAACAAGGAGAATGTCCTTGGACTTGCAGAACTCCAGCAGTTTGCTCTGGTTGAGGTAAGGGTGACATTCCACCTGTAAATTGCCAAGCAGAAGTATTGGAGTGTAGGACCAGCAGGATTGCCAGCACCAAATTTACAAGGAACATACAGTGAATACAGATTCACGGCACCAGAAATACTTAGAAATACCAGGAACTTGGGCCAGCAAGTGACTGTCATCCACAGCTGTACCCATGGTGCACCAAATACAATAGTTTTAGTGCCTAAAAGTGTCTTGTGCTTTACCTGTTCATCCCTCCTTCCCTCCCCATGAACCCTTTGCAACCACTGATCTTTTCTTTCTTCCCTTTTCTTCCTTCCTTCCTTCCTTTCCTTCTTCCTTCCTCTTTCTTTTTTTTTTTTTTGGAGCACTTTTGGTTTTACAGAAAAAATCGAACAAAAAGTACAGTTTCCATATTTCCCTTCATTCCCTCTCCAATTTCCCCTATTATTAGCCTCTTACATTAGTATGGTACATTTATTTAAATTGATGAGTCAATATTGGCAGATTATTATTAAGTAAAGCCCATAGTTTACATTAGGGTGCATTCTTTGTGATGTAAATTCTATGGGTTTTGACAAATGGATGATGTGTATCTTTCATTACAACATCCAACAGAATAATAGTTATACTGTCCTAAGATTTCCCCTGTGTACCACCTATTCATCCACCCTTCTGTCCCTTTGTACCCCTGGCAAGCACTGATCATTTTACTGTCTCCATAGTTTTGCCTCTTCCAGAATGTCATAGAGGTGGAATCATACAGTAGGCAGAATTTTCAGATTGGCTTCTTTCACTTAACAATATGCATTTAAGTTTCCTCCATGTCTTTTTCTCGCTTGATAGCTCACTTTTAAATTGCTAAATAATATTACATTGTAAGGCTGTCCCAGAGTTTGTTTATCCTTTCACCTCTGGAGGGATGGAGGGACATCTTGGTTGCTTCCAAGTTTGGGCAATTATGAATAAAACTGCTATAAAACTCTATGTTCAGGTTTGTGTGTTTTCAGCTCCTTTGGGTAAATACCAAGGACTACAATGCTGGATCATATGGTAAGAGTATGTTTAGTTTTGCAAGAAACTGCCAAACTGTCTTGCAGAGTGGCTGCACCATGTTGCACTTCCATCAGCCATGAATGAGCGTTCCTGTTGCTCCACATCCTCACCAGCATTTGGTGTTGTCAGTGTTCTGGATTTGGACACTTTTAACAGGTACATGGCAGGAGGGTGGCCCCACCCCATCTGTGGTTTTTCTCTCTGTGGTCTCAGCTACCCACAGTCAACCATGGTCTGAAAATATTAAATGGAAAATTCCAGAAATAAACAATTCATAAGTTTTACATTTCACACTGTTCTAAATGGTGTAATGAAGTCTTGTGCTGTCCTGCCCCATCCCACGCAAGACAGGAATCATGCCTTTGTTCAATGTACCCACACTCTATATGCTACCAGCTTGTTGCTCACTTAGCAGCCATCAGATCATCTGTTGTGGTATCGCAGTGCTGGTGTTCAAGTGACCCTTATTTTACTTAGTAATGTCCCCAAAACACAAAATTAGTGATGCTGGCCATTCAAATATTCTCTCTCTCTCTCTCTCTCTCTCTCTTTTTTTTATTGGAGTATAGTTGCTTTACAATGTTGTGTTAGTTTCTGCTGTAAAACAAAGTGAATCAGCTATATGTATACATATATCTCCTCCCTCTTGGATCTCCCCGCCCCCCATCCCACCTATCTAGGTCATCACAGAGCATCGAGCTGAGCTCCCTGTACTATACAGCAGGTTCCCACTAGCTACCTATTTTACACATGGTAGTGTATCTATGTCAATCCTAATCTCCCAGTTCATCCCACCATCCCCTTCCCCACCTGACATGTCCACATGTCTGTACTCTACGTCTGTGTCTCTATTCTTGCCCTGCAAATACCATTTTTCTAGATTCCACATATGTGCATTAACATACAATGTTTGTTTTTCTCTTTCTGACTTACTTCACTCTGTATGATAAACTCTAGGTCCATCCACATCTCTACAAATGACCCAATTGTGTTCCTTTTTATGACTGAGTAATATTCCATTGTATATATGTACCACATCTTTATTCATTCATCTGTCGATGGACATTTAGGTTGTTTCCATGTCCTGGCTATTGTAAATAGTGCTGCAATGAATGTTGGGGTGCATGTGTCTTTTTGAATTATGGTTTTCTCAGGGTATATGCCCAGTAGTGGGATTACTGGTCATATGGTAGTTCTATTTTTAGTTTTTTAAGAAACCTCCATACTGTTCTCCATAGTGGCTGTATCAATTCACATTCCCACCAACAGTGCAAGAGGGTTCCCTTTTCTCCACACCCTCTCCAGCATTTATTGTTTGTAGATTTTTTGAGGATGGCTATTCTGACGGGTGTGAGGTGATACCTCTTTGTAGTTTTGATTTGCATTTCTCTAGTAATTAGTGATGTTGAGCATTTTTCACATGCCTCTTGGCCATCTGTATGTCTTCTCTGGAGAAATGTCTATATAGGTCTCCAGCCCTTTTTTCTTTTTCCTGCCCATTTTTGGATTGGGTTGTTTGTTTTTTTGATATTGAGCTGCATGAGCTGTTTGTATATTTTGGAGATTAATCCTTTGTCAGTTGCTTTGTTTGCAAATATTTTCTCCCATTCTGAGGGATGTCTTTTCGTCTTGTTTATGGTTTCCTTTGCTGTGCAAAAGCTTTTAAGTTTCACTAGATCCCATTTGTTTATCTTTGTTTTTATTGTCATTACTCTAGGAAGTGGATCAAAAAAGATCTTGCTGTGATTTATATCAAACAGTGTTTTCCCTTTGTTTTCCTCTAAGAGTTTCATAGTGTCTGGTCTTATATTTATACTTTTCTGAGTACAGGTCTTTTGCCCCTTAGGTAAGTTTATTCCTAGGTATTTTATTCTTTTTGTTGTGATGGTAAATGGGATTGTTTCCTTAATTTCTCTTTCTAATCTCTCATTGTTAATGTATAGGAATGCAAGAGATTTCTGTGCATTAATTTTGTATCCTGCTACTTTACCAAATTCATTGATTAGCTCTAGTAATTTTCTGGTAGCATCTTTTAGATTTTCTATGTACAGTATATTGTCATCTGCAAACAGTGACAGTTTTACTTCTTCTTTTCCAATTTGTATTTCTTTTTCTTCTCTGATTGCCTTGGCTAGGACTTCCAAAACTATGCTGAATAATAGTGGCAAGAATGGACATCCTTGACTTGTTCCTGATCTTAGAGGAAATGCTTTCAGTTTTTCACCATTGAGAATAATGTTTGCTGTGGGTTTGTAGCATATGACCTTTATTATGTTGAGGTAGGTTCCCTCTATGCCCAGTTTCTGGAGAGTTTGTTGAATTTTGTCAAAAGCTTTTTCTGCATCTACTGAGATGACCATATGGTTTGTACAAATTTCCAAGACTGAACCAAGAAGAATTAGAGAATATAATCAGACCAATCACAAGTAATGAAATTGAAACTGTAATTAGAAATCTTCCAGCAAACAAAAGTCCAGGACCAGATGGCTTCACAGGAGAATTATATCAAACATTTAGAGAAGAGCTAACACCTATCCTTCTCAAACTCTTCCAAAAAACTGCAGAGGAAAGAACACTCCCAGACTAGTTCTATGAGGCCACAATCACCCTAATACCAAAACCAGACAAAGATATCACAAAAAAAGAAAATTACAGACCAATATCACTGACGAACATGAATGCAAAAATCCTCAACAAAATTCTAACAAACGGAATCCAACAACACATTAAAAAGATCATACACCATGATCAAGTGGGATTTATCCCAAGGATTCAAGGATTCTTCAATATATGCGAATCAATCACTGTGATACACCATAATTAACAAATCAAATATTCTCTTACTGTGCTTAGTTCCCTGACCAGGGATCGAACCTGCACCCCCTGCATTGGAAGCACAGAGTCAACCACTGGACTTCCAGGGAAGTCCCATTACTGTACTTAATTAAAATTAAACTTTATCATAGGCATGTACATATAGGAAAAAATATAGTCTATATAGTGTTCAGTAATATCCATGGTATGGTTTGGGGCATCCACTGTGGTGGTGGTGGGTGGGGGGAGGTGTCTTATCCCACAGATTAGAGAGAACTATTGTATCTCACTTTTGTCTTAATTTGCAAATCTCTAATGATATGTGATGTTTAACAATTTTTCATATGCTTATTTGCTACCTGTTCAGGCAAACCTTGGAGATACTGTAGGTTCAGTTCCAAGCCATCACAATAAAGCAAATATTGCAATAAAGGAGCCACATATTTTTCAGTTTCCCAGTAAACATAAAAAGTGATGTTTACACTACACTGTGGTCTATTAAGTGTGCAATAGCATATGTCTAAAAACTACATACCTTAATTTAAAACGACTCAATTGTTAAAAAGTGCCAAAACAGTTACAATAGTAACATCAGCAGCTAGTGTCCAAAGGTACAGTACATGAGAGGGGAGCGCCATTGGTGACTTTGTTGAAGTGAGAAAAGAGTAAGATGATGATGAGGGACAAGAGGTTGGGGGGCCAATTGGTGGGGTTCACCTGGTTGCAGACGGGCTTGTACTTGAGCCCTGGCTTGTTCAGGATCATCTCCAGCTGCTTGCAGTTAAAGTTGGACACCCCAATGGACTTGGCCAGTCCTGCGTCCTTACACTTCTCCAGGGCCTGGGGAGGAAGAGGTGGTGAGGAGTAACTGGCTAGAGAAGCATAACAAATGGTAGCATGCTGTGGATGAGAGACAGTACGTGATGCAGATGTCAGTAAATAAGACAAGAATTGGCCAATAGGAGGAGAATGAGAAACAAAATAGTTTTTGAAATGGGTAAGGAGATAGAGTAAGAATGCAAGCAGCCAAGGCAGGGCCAAGAGATCCAGTGCGATCTTTAGCTAGCACCTAAAATAATATGATAGAACAATATCAGAACAAGCGCCAGGAGAATGGAGGTTGAGTCAGGTGCAGCCTGGGAAACAGGAAGTGGCCATGCCATCTCCCCGACCACCAGCTCCTTGTTTTCTCTTTGACCTCATTTCCTATTATTGACCACCAAATTCACTCTGTTCCAGCCACACATGCCCCTTTGCTGGTTTTTGAACATGGTAAGCTCTCTCCTATCTTAAAATCTTTGCCTTGATTTTCTTTATGCCTGCATCACTCTTCCTCCAGATACCCACTTAATCTACTTAATCCATTAATCAATTAATCAATTTCATTATCCATTTAATCAATTTCCTGCAAGTCTTTGGTCAAATGCCACCTTCTCAAAGAGGCCTGCCCTGTCCATTCTGTTTTTAATTGCCTATCTGTGCCCCAAACCCAGCCTGGCACACTCAGTTCCCTTACTCTTTCTTATACCACTGCATCCTTCCCCCCCACCAGTAGCACCTACCACTCTAGGGGGTCAGAGACCTTGGTTTTGTTCATGGATGTAGCTTGAGTACTTAGAAGTACTCAGTAATCATAAGCACTCAGTAACCACTTATTGAATTACTAAATAGAAGAAATGTGAAACTGAGGCAGAGGGACGTTCAGGGACTTGCCCAAGTCTACACAGGGGGCAGAATTGGACTACATCCTCCTCTCCTCAATTCCTTTTCTGTCCTCTCCGCCCCAAGGTGCAGAGATATGGCCTCTTTGGAGCTTCACTCACCTCCCATGTGGTACAGAGATCCACTGTGTCAAAAATGATGTTTCCGTGTGTGTCCTTTGGGAAAAAGTCCTCCCCAGGCTGGAGCATAGGAAAGAAGAAGAGGTTGGATCAAGCTATGTCTGGCCTCAGCCAATATGTTTGGAGCCTTTAGACCTTGAGGCTAATGGAACCATCTATCCTTATTCTTGAAAGGAATGGTAGTACATTGAGAAAGTACAGTTCCTAGAAATGTTTTTAACCCCTAAAGGTTTAATAAATATTGTTTGTGTCAAGGACAACTTGAGATACCCAAGACCCTATCCTAGTGAGAGCCCAGAGTGGTACCATAGCTGAATGGGCTCCTTTGTCCCAGATCCTTGTGGGATAAAGCTCTTCCATCCCTGCTTTCCACCTGGAGGTGGTCTTTTGAGAGAGGGACTTGTCACCATCTCAAGGGCTGAGTCTCATCCTCCTTAAATTTTCTGTGCCTTCACAGGTCTCTACACTGGCACGTTCCTCAGACACCAGTGGGCATGAGGTTGAAATTCAAGAGTACAGGGACTTGAAAATATACATAGTTGTCCACAAGATCAAGGCAAATACATTGAAACCAGTAAACCCATCAGTCTGGGGCTGGAATAGTAAACTGGGATAGGGATAGTTGCAGAAAAAAGAAAAAACAAAAAGAGAATATTGAAGTATTATATATGATTCTTCTCATTTTCACAAACTATATCCTCTTTTTATTTAGCTACTAATGATGTTGATAACCAAAGTAAAATTACTTTCGCTAACCTTCATAGCTATTGGGAAATGAATAAGATAAAGATCCACATAGCTCAGTTGAAGTTTCCTCAGTGAGCTTTCCAGGCAAGTTTGGACCAATTCTGGACGGAAAAAGGTGCTCCACAACTGCAGTGGTGGAAAGAGAAGTGGGGTGGGATTATTTAAGAATATTTAGGAGAGATTAATACAATGGCAAATAAACAACAACAACCAAAAACCCGCTCGTGGTCGTTGGGAAGTGACAAGTCATCCTGTGAAGCTCAGGATTCTTTATCATCATAGCTTATTTTCACATTGAATTAAGAAAGCATGGTAGAAAGTTAAAATATGGTCTTACACAGATGCTCTCAAAACTGAAAATACAAAAAAGAATTATTTGGTTTGTTTGTGCAAGATATATCCCTGGGTTCTCCCTCAAACATCATAAGTTATAATATCTGGAGACTGGGCTGGGAAACTGCATTTTATTTTTCATTTTTTTAAGAATTTTTTATATGGAACATATTTAAAGTCTTTATCAATTTTGTTACAATATTGCTTCTGTTTTATGTTTTGATTTTTTGGCCCCAAGGCATGTGGAATCTTAGCTCCCTGACCAGGGATTGAACCCACACCCCCTGCATTGGAAGGGGAAGTCTTAATCACCCGACCACCAGGGAGGTCCCTGGGAAACTGCATTTGAAACAAGCACATCAAGTGATTGTGATTCAGGAAATTCTATCTTGGCTGCATTCAGTTGTTAGGTTTGCCAAAGAAAGCTAGGCCCTTTAGGAATTTGGGGGGGAGGGCATTTTAGTTACTTCATTTTAGGAAGTAATAATCTAAGGAAAATCCATCAAAATAACTACAGGTAAGGAAACAAACGGATCCCATGTAAAGAAGATTAAAGCTGAGAGTTAAGAGGGTAGTGCTCTAGCAATACCTCATCTAAACAAAGTCGTGTGGAGAGATTCACATTCTGGAGCTAGAAGGAAGAAATATCCATTCATAGACCAGTATAGGGTTCACTATCATGGACACCAACTCCCTCCTCTTGGGCTACTTTACCTCAAATTCAAATGCTTTTTTTCTAGCAGTAGTCAGTTCAATGAACACGATGGGGAAAATTCCTCTTGTGTTCCATTTCCAATCCAACTTAAATACTAAGTTCTTTTATTTGTTTCAGATATGATATCAGTGGATATAAATTATATTAGTAAAAATGGCTTGAAAGTTTAAAAAATGCATTAGAAATACTTTTATAAACATGAATGTTATCCTCATATCAGTTCCGTGGTATTATATTATGTTTCCTACCTCATAGGAAAGAGAAATAAATGTCTATTGACAGTGCAATAGACTGAGATATAAAGACTAAGACTTAAAGAGGTTAAAAGACTTTTTTTGGTTAAGAAATTTCACAAAGTCAAATATATAGAATATTAAAAAACTAAAATTTGATTGTAGTTTCCAAAAGCCTACACTTTCTGACGAAATTGCTTTACCTCACACTACAGCTAAGAAAGATTGTCGCTTCATCAAAACTTGAGTATAACAGAGTTGGAAAAGCCAAATCCATCCCTGAGTTTGAAAACATATGATAATAATAACAGCTAGTATTTTTGAACATTTAAAATACATTAAATATTTTTAAAGATTTACATGTATTTTTTTGAAGTAATACTCATAAATATCCTGTGAGACAAATATTGTTATCTTCATTTACAGCTTGGGAAACTAAGGGACAGACTTTAGTTTGTCCAAGGTAAGTAAGTGGCAGAACCTGGATTCAAATATAGCAAGTCTGACCACAGAACCCACATTCCTATCCAGCTGTTCCAAACCAGCCTTCTCATAGTTCAAGGTCTGAGAGTGAATGAGAATTAAACCAATGAGAAAAGACATATGCCAAGAAATGATTCAGCTAAGAGTGAGCTTCCACAGATACATATGCGACTATACACAATACCTTTGTAGTGTAGAATAAGTCACCCCTCTTCACAGTGCCATCTGCAATCTTCATCTGGATGGCTCTCCCAATTTCTTCTTCATTTTGGTACATATAAGCTGAATCAATATGGCGGTAGCCTACGTCGATTGCTCTCTTAATGGCCTTTTCTACCTCACTCTTAGCAACCTAGAAGAGCATGAAAAGATAAAGACCTACTTGATTCAGGAACAGATGACCAATTCCATAAGCAGAGCTAGTCAGCAGAACCCATTGTTTTTCTAAGGGTTAAGAGCTAGTGGTGACAAAGCTTAATGTTGACCTATGACCGGCAGTAAATATTTAACAACTGACTCTGAAAGAGTCCTGATTTGTAGTATTAGCCAGTTTCTATGGTGGAACTATTCCCACCATTGCTAATTTCACGCAACCGATGCTGGGAAAAGACTCTTACAGTTGAATCTTTGAGCTCATGAGCTGGTCCCAGCACATCACATCATGAACTCTCTATTTCTGGACTTACACTATATACATGTATAGATTTACACAATATATAGATTTACCTTTCTAAATTAACTCACTCTGTAAGAGATCATTAAACTGGTTTCAACCCGGAAATCCAATGCCCAAAAATGATCAATGCGATGCAGATGTAACTTCAGAGAGAATAAATTTGTGATTTACCTTTGTAAACTTGGAGAAACACTTCAAACAACATTTGAGGAAGAATTAAAATGTAAAAAACAAAAACAAAAAAAAACCCTCTTTTTTTTCACTTAAAAATATCTTATAATTAATTCCTTCTTTGGTTACTAAGTTCATCCTTAGCTAATATTCTCCTTCACAATTTTGTTATTCTTCTTAGCTGCCTATTGTTCTGCTGGACCACCAGGCTGGACTTCTGAAGTTACCTATCATTTTCACAGCTCCATTATCCCCTCTACTTCACTCAGTAATTAAAAGGTCTTTTGGGTATATTTTTTTAATTTGCAACTCCTGATAAATTGACCAGTCCCATGGGGATGAACTGACTGTCCACAGATGAAAGAGCCAAGTCAAAGTGAAAGCAACAGTCCGTGCTAGTGTCCTTGTTACAAACCTCAACATCACACTCCACCTGGCTCTCCTGCTGGGAATCAAGCATGAAGTTCAGTCTTCCAAACAGAGAGAGAACTTCCAAGTGCCACATGCCTCTCCCTACAGCACAGTATTCACAGCCTGACCTGTAAGAGACTATTTTCACCTCAGACCACCAAAACTCCCTCTAAGTTGAATCTTGTCTCTCTTTCTCCAGGTCCTTTTGCCCCTGAGATTTCTCTGGATGCTCTACGATTGGAGGTGGTTGGGGACAACTTGGATATTAGAAATTACAGAGAAACTTCATCACAAGAAATTTGTGGCAACATCTCTGATACGTGGTAATCAAGACAACTGGGTTTCACTGATTCTAATCTACTGTGGAATGGCTACAACTGGACAGCAAATGAGAATAAAGGGAAAAGATGGACCCACCCCTGAATTGCTGAAAGATGAAGAACTTCTGTATCTCTTGCTATAGCATCAGAATCACTTGCCAGCTCGTTAGAAATGTGGATTTTTGAGACTCATCCCAGATCGAATGAATCAGAACCTTTGTGGGCAGAGCCCCAAAGTCTACATTTTAAACAAGATCCTCAGGTATTTTCATGCCTATTAAAATTTGAAAAGCACTGACAATGCACAAAATAACCTAACCTGGAGAGAAGCGTACTACACATTAAGAAAGTGTGGTCCATCTGAATTTCCCAAATTCACACAGTGACTGGTCTTGATCAGGACCCAAGTCTGCTACTCCTCCATCTCCAATACCATTCTGATTACCTGAGGAGGGGCAGAAGTGCCCAATCCCAGCATAGGCATGAAGAATCCATCATTCATCTTTAAAGAAAAAAGTCTCGTTTGACTCATCTTCTCTCACTCTTCTGGCTAAACAAACACTAATTTTCCTCTTTATTAAGAGAAATCTGCTGAGGGAAGAAAATAGTATTCAATAAAATTGTTATTTTTTTAACAGCTTTAATGAGATAATATTCACATATCATAAAATCCCCCCCTTTAAGGAACTCTGCTCAATATTATGTAACAACTTAGATGGGTAAAGAACTTGAAAAAGAATAGATACATGTATATGTATAACTGAATCACTTTGCTGGACACCTAAAACTAACACAACATTGTTAATCAACTATACTCCAATGTAAAATAAAAAGCTTAAAAAAATCACCCCCTTTAAAGTATACAATTCAGTGGTTTTTAGTATATTCATAGAGTTGTTACCACTACACAACTTCAGAACATTTTCATCATCCCCAAAGAAACCCACAATCATTAGAAACAAGTCCCCACCCGTCCTTCCCTTCAACTCCTGGCAATTGCTTTCTGTCTCTATAGATTTGCTTATTCTAGACATCTGATATTAATGCTCTCATACAATATGTGGCATTTTCTGACTGCCTTCTTTCACTTAGCATAATGTTTTCAAGGCTTGTCCATGTTGAAACTTGTATCAGTACTTCAGTCCATTTTATGGCTAAATAACATCCCACTGTATGGATATGACACATTTTATTTATATGTTCATCAGTTGATAAACATTTTGCTTTTTCTACCTTTTGGCTATTATGAGTAATTCTTTTTTTTTTTTTTTTTTTTTTTACAGTACGCGGGCCTCTCACTGCTGTGGCCTCCCCCATTGCGGAGCACAGGCTCCGGACGCGGAGGCTCAGCGGCCATGGCTCACGGGCGCAGCCGTTCCGCAGCGTGTGGGATCCTCCCGGACCGGGGCACGAACCCGCATCCCCTGAATCGGCAGGCGGACTCTCAACCACTGCACCACCAGGGAAGCCCAACCTCCTTGTCCTTTTACTCTGACCTCTGACGTTGGCCCCACTGCCTACAACTGCTTCTATCTCTGTCTTGCTGAGTATTTATTTATTTATTTTTGGCCTCGCCGCATGGCAGGCGGGATCCTAGTTCCCTGACCAGGGATTGAACCTGCACTCCCTGCAGTGGAAGTGCCAAGTCTTTACCACTGTACCACCAGGGAAGTCCCCCTGTCTTCCTGAGTTTAGAAATTCTTCAGCAACCTTTAAGCTTTCACAAAGCCAGCTCAGCTACTGGTACCTTCCCTTTGTTCCACAGGTCACACCAAGGAACGTACAATTAGGGAATACCCTAATTTTGTGGACTTTGATACAGACCTCCTTGATTCAGCCTCTCTGCAGTTCTCCCCTCAGTACTTATTCTCAACATTCTTTAAACCTGAGTTCCTATTTGCCTGCTTATTCCTCCATTTTATTTTAATTTCCTTTAAACAACTCCTTCACGCTGTAAGAAACATAACATATTAAATTAGAAAAATTATATGAATTCATGCCTTTGAAATAATGTTTCCAGCTCCATTTCTCCTAAAAGATGCAAATAATATCCAGTAGCACATGTGCAATACTAATGACCAGAGTCTATTTCCCTCTAAAAGAAATCTGTCTTCTTAGAGAGTGGTTATTTTTATCTTGCATCAGGAAAATTTAGGACAGGGCTGAATATTATGTTGTTGCCAAAAATCGGGGGTGGTTACGTTGGCGCCAGCAACAACTAGTAACAAATGGCATCTGCTGAGGGAATTCTGCTGGAAAGTATGACAATTCGAAAATGAAAGCAATGTTATTAATATTGTTATTTGGAAAAAGTTGAGTCTATGGAAAGCCATGAATTCATAATTATACTGGAAAGAAAATTAAGATGAAGTTCAGGAAAAGGCAGTTGAAATACAAAAGAAGGATGAACAAAAAAATACATTTAATTTATCGCTGACTTTAATGTTAGGGAAAGGAAGTGTAGTAATTTCTCTTCATCTAAATGAGTAATTTCTCTTCTATACTAATGTCAGATTATAAAGTAGAGTTGTGTACTTTGTTTTCGTAAGCAGGAAATTGAAAGCAATCCAATCAGTACTAAAAGTGTGCCGAGTACAGGAACAATCAATCCCATCTGTAATTATTCACACGAAATGAAAGTTAAACACTTTAATGGCCAGTCACATTCTCCAAGTACCAGAAGAGTTCAACAGCATGGAAGAGAGGTAATTAAATATAAAGGGTTATATAACACTGATAAATGGAAACTCTAAAAGTCATGTCAATTCAGGAGATACCAGTATTGCAACAATACTAAAACCTGTGAGAAGGACAAAATGCATGGACATTTTAAAAAGCATATAGAAAGTGAAGCTTTACCATAAAAAGAGAAGTTCGTTTGATAATCAGTGGCTTGGATTTGAATCATTCTCAGAGAGTCAACCATACTAGGGCCCTACTAAGCATAAATCAATCATCCAAATTCAGCAATTTGGGCTAATTTTTTGCTCAAAAAAACCCTTTATGAATACTTAAAGTTGAAATTCACATAATTTTTTTTTTTTTTGCAGTACGCAGGCTTCTCACTGTGTGGCCTCTCCCGTTGTGGAGCCACAGGCTCCAGACGCACAGGCTCAACGGCCATGGCTCACGGGCCCAGCCGCTCTGCGGCATATGGGATCTTCCCGGACCAGGGCACGAATCCATGTCCCCTGCATCGGCAGGTGGATTCTCAACCACTGCGCCACCAGGGAAGCCCGAAATTCACGTAAGTTTATATGTCATGAAATATTATTTTTCTTTTGGATTTTTCAGCCGTTAGAAAAATGTATAAACCATTTTTACCTCATGGACTATTCAAAACCAGGCAGTGAGCTGTGCCTGCAGGTCATGGTTTGTGGATCTCTGCTCTACACAATTAGCTGACATTATTATAATATCTATAATTATCTTTCTGTAGATTATTATCTTTTAATTGTGATGAAATATACATAACATAATATTTTTCATTTTAACCACCCTTAAGTGTACAATCCAGTGGCATTAAATATATTCACAATGATGTAGAACCACCACCACTATCTATACCCAGAACCAACAAAAACAATATACCTGTTACAAATTTTCCTTTTGGCTTGTTCAGTGTTGATGTATAGAACCACAACTGATTGTGTGTTTATCTGTATTTACCTTGTACCCTACAACTCTGCTGAATTTATTAGCTCTAGTAGTTTTCTTGTGAACTCTTTGGGGTTTTCTGTATGTTGAATCATGTCATCTGTGATCAGAGATAGTTTACCCCTTTCTTTCCAATTTGGATGGCTTTTATTTCTTTTTCTTGTCTGATGGCTCTGGCTAGAATGTCCAGTATGATGCTGAATAGCTGAGGTAAAAATAGGCATCCTCTTTCATTCTCAATCTTAGGAGGAAAGCTTTCAGTCTTTCATCATACCATTGAGTATGATGTTACCTTGACTTTTTTCATATATGGCTTTGTTGAGAATTTGGCTAAACTACTCTGTAATATCACTGCGTTGTCATCTGTTTGGTACAGCTAAGTAGCCTACAGGGGCCATAAATCGACACTACCCCCTCCAGAAAGCTAATGCCTTAAACAAGTGTTTTCTGAATGCCCCCCAAAGCAGAAATGGCTTGTTTAGATCCCTGGGAAGCCACTTCAGCTTGTGAGGTATAAAATAATGGCAGCAGCCTTGTTTGTACTTCATCAAGCAGAGCAACAACCTACCGTTGGAACACAGAACACTGATATGTGGAAGACAAGCTCCTTATTTCCCACCCTGGATCCAGCAAATCACACCAGAACCTCGGTTTCCTTCCTCACAGCTGCCTGTCCCAGGTCTGGACGGTGGGCGGTGGGTAAACACCACCCTGAGGGCTGTAACTGACCGGTACTAACTGCAATTTACCAGCCAAGCTTTGCTCTGGATGCAGCAAGCCTTCAAATAGATTCTAGAGTTCTAAAATATTTACTTCAGACAGATTCTACCAATATAACTTTTGTCAAGGTAGAGAGATGGATTCCTGGTGCTTCCAATTCTGCCATTTTTCCTGAGGACACTCTATAAATTCTTTGGGTTGATCTCTGAAAGTACTGTTTTACTCTAAGATCTGGTAAGATAGAAATAAAGTTAATTTTCAAAAAAATCCCCACTAATTTTTGTGTTGCAAAATACTAATATCATTTCATTAAAATCTGGTAATGAAAAAGATGTTACTGCGGGGCTTCCCTGGTGGTGCAGCGGTTGAGAATCTGCCTGCTAATGCAGGGAACACGGGTTCGAGCCCTGGTCTGGGAGGATCCCACATGCCGCAGAGCAACTAGGCCCGTGAGCCACAGCTGCTGAGCCTGCGCGTCTGGAGCCTGTGCTCTGAAACAAGAGAGGCCGCGATAGTGAGAGGCCCGCGCACTGCGATGACGAGTGGCCCCCGCTTGCCACAACTAGAGAAAGCTCTCGCACAGAAACGAAGACCCAACACAGCAAAAATAAATTAATTAATTAATAAAAAAAGCCCTGCTAATTTGAAAAAAGAAAGATGTTACTGAAAATATACATAGTTTAGAATTGACTATAGTAAAAACATCTTGGAAGATGCAAATATATTAACAAATACAGAGATTCTAGTAAAAAAAATTTACTAGAATGTACTAAAGACTTTTGTCATTGATGGAATAGAAGACAAATACACCGTATATATATAGTTAACCCTCCAACAATGCAGGGGTTAGGGGCGCCAACCCAAGCACTGTTGAAAATCCACATATAACTTTGCAGTCTCCCTTTTATATCTGCAGTTCTGCCTCTGTAGATTCAACCAACCGTGGATCACTAGTGTGCTTTCCATGTGCTGAACACAGGATCTGGTTTTGTTAAAACATGACAAATAATTTCCATATGTTGTATATGTGTACGTATATACATACATATATGTTTGTGTATATAAATGTATATATAGGTATATATTATATAAGCCTGGAGAAAATATAGGAAGTGCATATTAAGCTGTTAACATTCATTATTGTGAAGTGTTGCTGAAACGAGTGAAGGGGGAAAAAGAGGGCATGGGGGACAAAAAGGGCAAAAAGAAAAAAATTCAACGAAAAAGCAAATATATGGGGCTTCCCTGGTGGCACAGTGGTTGAGAGGGAGCGGCTGGGCCCGTGAGCCATGGCCGCTGAGCCTGCGCGTCCGGAGCCTGTGCTCCACGACAGGAGAGGCCACAACAGTGAGAGGACCGCGTACCGGAAAAAAAAAAAAAAAAAAAAAAAAAGCAAATATATGATCATTTATGTATATATTTAAAATTATATACTTATCTTTTTTCTTTATGTATAAATAAAATAATTCAGTAAGCAATATCAAATTACAGAGACAGCAAAGGATAAACCAGTCAATATAATCACTTAAAAGACCAAGAGGTGACACGTACACACTACTATATATAAGATAGATAACTAGCAAGGACCTACTGTATAGCACAGAGAACTCTAGTCAATACTCTGTTATAAGCTATATGGGAAAATAATCAAAAAAAGAGTGGATATATGTATATGTATAACAGATTCACTTAGCAGTACACCTGAAACTGACACAATATTGTAAATGTTGTGAAATGTTGTTAAAAAAAAAAAGACCAAGAGGTATGTACTATAATTCACTGTTGAGTTACTGGACATGGTTCCACACCAAGAAAGGGAGAATCCCTGACTTCAGAGAATTATTTCTCTATGTAAAGATTTTGGTACTTACCTCTAAGTGGATATCTAGTATATATCCAACCTTGAATGTGAAAAAGCAGAGGTAAACACTGAGACAGTTTCCCAGAGGACACT